TAGATCTATCCGTTTTAGCCTTATCGAAAATGGATGTATTAGCGCACATCTTCCTTATGTATAAGTAATTAATGCTTAAAACTGTAAATGTTTAAAACAATCCGGATTTAGACAATAATTATCTAGTTTCATATCTGGTGACCTAGCTCTCCAAGAGCTCTTCGCTGTGAATCTTGCAAAATCGAGGATCACATCGGGATTATCTATTTTGTAGAGTTTATTCAAATCGATACGCGGAATGAGGTGAGTGTTTCAGAAAAATGACTCTCTCGTCGTCGGACGCTCTAGAGGTGTGTAGGGCACTACTGCAGAGAAAGCCGAGGACTGGAATAGTACTCCATAAAGCATTCATGCGCGTTCGAGTCCTGGAATAGACAGCATGCCATCAACGGACACACATTCGAATTCTTCGTTATAACGCGATTTATATACGCGGCGCCGTTGTTTGGCGGAGCCGCAGGCGTAGGCGGGCGTCCCGCCGCGTCTTTCCGACTCGTCGCGAATTTAATTTCGGCCATAAGCAATCGCTCTCCTTTCCTTCGTTTAACCGCGTCGGGTCGTCGTATCCTTTTTCACGAGGAATCGAAAAAATTATACTTCTCAGTCGCGCAGAAACGCAGCACGCAACTCATGCGCGCGCGCGCGACGATGAAATCGCATTCTCTCCAATCTCGCCGGATCCCCGGATATCCCGTAAACAAATCGGATTTCGGCTTCCGAGCTTTTCCCGTGATGGTCAGGATATGAATAAAAGAGGGGCACTCGCGCTCTTTTACTTTGAACGCGGCGCGTACGTTCTCCGTTATACGTACGAAATCCTTTTGCGCGCATCCTTATGCCTCCTCCGCGCGCTTCATGCAGCCGCGATAACGCGCGCAAGAAACGGCCCACCCGGCGACTTCCGTCGGGCGTGTGCCGCAACACCACGTGTGCCACACGGAGAGTTTTTCCTCATCTTCCCGGCCGGAACTTCACATGCGCGACGTTCTACACCTATATACTTGGCGCGAGTCGAGTGCAAAATGCATCCCCGCCCACACTTCCTGTCGCCCCCTCGCCGCGGTCGTCCATTTCTCCGCGGACTCGCCCTGTATTTTTCCTAAAGTTACGACGGCCGCGGTTTCGCGGAAAATCCGCAAGTGCGACGAGAGGGTAGCCGTTCTCTCGCGTGCGTGGGGAGTGCCGTGTGGCGGTGGCGGAGGCGACGGTGGCGGCGGCGGCGGCGGTGGCGGCGGCGGCGGCGGCGGCGGTGGTGGCGGTGGCGGCGGCGACGGCGACGGCAGCAGCCCGCGCGAACGGGGGTGGCCGGGACGTCGAGGGGGGGTTTGCTAACACACCGTGCAACGAATGGAGATCGATTCCGAGTCTGGGTCAGGCGAGGGCGTTCACCCCCCGGTGCAGCCCGGGAGACACGGAATCCAGGATCGTAGCTAGGCTATCACGGCAGGCGGGGGTACTGGCCGGGGGTCGGGGCCTGGGGGCTGCGAGGGAGGAGGGTGCACCGGCTCGGGACACTCCCTTCTGTTGGGTGCAATGTACGCTCGCTCTCCTCTATGTCCAAAATCGCGGCTCCGGACTGCCGCAGCTCCTGTGCAGCCCCGCGACGAGTCTCTCGGCCGCGGTCGCGATGACGGCTCTCTCTCTCTCTCTCTCTCGCGTCCCGCACAACCCCCTCGGTTGACTCTTCCTGTGAGTGATTTAACGGGGGCATCTCCTCTCCGAAGGAGGACTCGGACCCGATCGAGAGGCTTCCGCACTCGAATGATCGTACATCTTTCCGCTTATCTGAGATCACGTATCTTTCGTTGAAATTACGCTCCCTCGAATTAGTCGCGGAGTAAAAGTTTGAAGTCGCTTTTGATTTAATATAAATTACCAACGGATTACGATAGATTTTGTGACCAATGAACTATAGTGATATATAATATACCTACTTTCTGCGTGTACATGATACACGATAAGATACGAGATCTTCGTAATTATCAAACTGTTTAAATTGCCGGATGTAATAGCATTACCAGAGCGATGTCATTTGATTTCCAAAGTCTTGTTTATTTAAATCTAATTACATATACATACGTTACAAAAAGACGTGCTATGATCAGTATAATCGGTGAAGTTAATTTTTCGCCATTCTCTAACTGTTCGGAACGATTGTAACGACATTTCGCGACATGTTTAGCTTGTTCGACTCGATATCCCTCGCTAGGATCGCAACGCGAGTAATCTGTCCAATTTTGTTTATCTGAAGGATCGGCGCGGTGCGTAAGCGCATCCTTCGTATCTTCCGCTTTAACCTGGCTACCAGGAGCGAGTCCCAGGACGAGGTGAACGATCGACAGGGTGGTGGTACGTGACCTTTTGCGCGAAGGATAACGGCAGGGACGGGGTGGGGAGACGGGGTGGTGGTTTGCACTATGGTAACACGGGGGTGAATGCACGTACTCCAGGGGGCTTATCCTGCAACTTTTCGACGCATGCGTTTCGTATTCCGCAATTTTCGCAATGCGTGACGTCACTGGTGTCGCGTCGAGCTTGCGTGCTCTCTCTCTCTCTCTCTCTCTCTCTCTCTCCTCTCTCTCTCTCATTTTGTACAATTCTTTCAATATAGCATAACATTATAGCAACATAATATTATATCTTGTTACGAAGTTAATACAGTATATTTAACATAATATTATATTATGTTATGGAGAGTTGTGAAAGTATATTTGTTTTGTTGATATTGTTTATGCATGAATTGAATTGATATGTCTTTATTACTTATTTCTACATTGAGGGTATAAATAAGAGCGTACAATAAATAATGCTTTTCCTCTCCTCTCTCTCTCTCTCTCTCTCCCTATCTCCATATCTCGTATAAAAAGCGTATTTCGTACATAATCACGATGCAATTTTTGATACGTATTAAAATAGCAATTGCGCTTTACGCCCATCGTTGTAACATGATCATCGAGCCGTATAAATCTTGCAGCCGGTTATTATACGTTAACCATAATAGATTATGAACCGAAATCGTTGAGGTCGCGTCGCGGTTTTAGTGGCGTAATGGATTCTGGGCTGCATTGATGACTGGCGCTTGTGGATGCATGCAGTCACCCGTGTGTACGCATAAATATACCACGCGTACGTTACACGTATAGAATTGCTTCCGTTTCCGCGATGCGGCTCTCTTGTTGATGTTTTGCAGATACGATACTCGAGAAACTCAATCTCTCTCTCTCTCACGTAATCAAACGCTAATACATTTTTCTAATTTCCAAAATTCTCGAATGCAGTTCTCCGCGGTAGGGCGCTGTTTTACCGAGTAATTCCAGGACGTTCTCTCGGGTATACCGGTGAAGCGAGTATAGGCACCCCTTGGCGAGGGGTGGTTTCTCGAGAGGTCGTCCCTTGGCGCCTATTCGTATGCAACCAGAATAACACCGGGCGCGATCGATGCGTGTGCAGTATGTATCGGATCCTCGCCCGGTGTACCATCGTTTTTATGTCTTCACGTAAATATCACGAGAGAAAAATAAAGTTTTCACTGAGAAAAGTAAAATAGTAGTTAATTTTCACGGCGAATCGTTGCTTCCCGAGCAGTTTCCATGGGGAGTTTAGCCTGCGGGCCGGCGAAACGGCCGGTAACGCAGTCGATCATGATATCAGGTGCGATACCCGCGGCAATAAACTCGGCAAAAATCTATAATTTTCGAGTTTACGCGCAGTTTTTATTTCATCGCGATGAAATATGCAAGTATAGTGAGAAAATGTTCTAATGATAAAGAATCTAGCTCTTACGGAAAAATACATACTATTGGACTTGTGAAAAAACTATTCAAAAATTATTAGAAATTAAACTATTCAAATCCAATATTTTATACTATATTCCATTAATATTTTCATTAATCCAATACTATTTTTTTATAAGGGAGCCGCTAACGTCGATGAAATATTTTATTTGTCCATTAATTAACGAGCGAAAGGAAAAACGATACAATTTTTAGTGCCAAATGGAGATCGAAATGAAGGAACAGAATGATAAAATATAAAACAGATAAAATATAAAAATTGTGCAAGAGGATTCGTATACTGCTAATAAATTACGTGAAATTTTTAATCGATATATCGTTGAAAATCGTCGATAGTGTAAGAGAGGCACCGACGAGATGTTATTACAGACGATTATCTAGCATGACTTGGAAAATTCACTGTGTGCTAATTTGTTCTCACAAGCAATATTGCGAAAAGCAATAACTGTTATAAAATCAGAGATGGTAACGACGAGATATTATTCAAGAAGCAATTTTGGGTAAGTAAAGTTCATGCCACTATTTAACTGGGTCAATTTAATTATTTCGCCAAATCACAGATTATTGGAAATATATGTCAATACAGTTCACGTAGATATGATAAAAGCTGTGAAAATTGGAAAAAAAAAACCAATTGAACAATGTACAGAAGAATAAAAGATTAATTTAATCGAGTAATCGATTATTTGCATTATTGGTATTTATTATGTTAAATTATAGAATAGAATAAATATCTATATTAATTTGACAATATTAATAAACATTGTCAATATTGACAATATTGATAATGAACATTGAAAGATAAATATATGAATAAAAATTAGTGAATACAATATAAGAATACACGTATACTTCATTTTGAGGTTATTATTAAATATCTAAAAAATTCAGAGTATTTTTCTCATTTGTAGCAACTTAATGCCTTAATTCCTGGTTTATCTTTCATGCAGTTTTTATTGCGAGTTATACGTAAAAAGTTTATATACCTTGAATGATAATGGGTGACTGGATAAGTTAAAACACGTATTAATATTTACTTATGCTGGCCGTAATTATCTGCGAACCACTGAGGCTTTTCATCCATTAACATATTTTAGCCGTAAAAACTTACCTAGAGTCGATAGTTTTTTTTATAATATATATGTATATTCGACGGTCACACGATAAGTTTCCATACATACACATACCAGATAAGAGGGATCCTGCTGGAGAGATCAAAGGGGATACTGGTTTGACGACCGCAGAGGGCGTGGATTGTATTCGCTGTAGGTACATAAGAAAAGCGCGAGGCAGATGTTTTTGCTGACGTACTGCATTGTCTGCGTTGTACCGCTCGGCGCTCAGGAACTCGTTTCACGCTTCACGTGTCTTGCGACTCTTGCGAGGTGGTTTCCCGCGCGATTTGTCGTAGTTCTGATAAACAGCATCACAATGACGTTCGACTTGTATAATATCATACAGTTCACTCTGCTGCCAATTGTCGTGCTCAGCATCCTCGTTACGATTCGGCCGAAAAAGATGAAAGACATCAGGAACAAGCACGTTGTCGTAAGTGTTATCTAATTTCGTTGTTGTGAAAATATAATGAAGCGAGATGCGAAATCGAGAATCGAGTGTTAAATCCGTATTGTCAATGTAAGATATTGTTTTTCGCAAGGTGACCGGCGGCTCTAGCGGCATTGGAAAATGCCTGGCGATTCTCGCCGCGAAGAAGGGAGCGAATGTCACGATAATCGCGAGGAACGTGGAGAATTTGGAGAAGGCCAAAGACGAGGTGCTGCAAGCGTGCGTGAACAAGGACGCGCAGAAGGTGGAGTGTCTGCCTTTGGACATTGGAAAGGATTACGAGACTGTCGAGAAGGCACTGGCCGAACTGGAGAAAAATATGGGACCGGTTCACATGCTCGTAAATTGCGCTGGCCTGGCGATCGCCGGCAAAATAGAAGACACCACCGCAGAGGATCTCGACAAAATGATGCGCACGAATTTCCTCGGCACATATTACTGCACCAAGGCTGTTGTGCCGAGAATGAAGGCGTCCAAAGAAGGAACGATTGTACTTGTGTCCTCTCAAGCTGGCCTCCTAGGTATTTGCATAATAAATTATGTACCTCATCGACGTACAATAATAGCTTAGAAACAATAAAAACCTAACAAGATTTCCCAAATTAAAAATACATTTATTGGTACGCACTAGTTGATTTATGTAAAATTTGCTTTATTCTAAAGTCAGACGTTTCTGCTATCTTTCTTAGCCATCTTCAGTGACAAATTAAAAAAAAAAAAAAGAAAAAAATTACATTAAACTCTCGCTCTTAGTTTCCTAATGCGTGTGTTCTTCCACGTCTAGTGAATGAGGAAGCAGTTTTAAGTGCCTTCCATAGCCATTCGTGCCGTTGAAGGGCTGCATGGTCTAGCTCGAACGTAATAAAACACACACTTCGAGTCTGGGTAACGATACAATTAATAACGGAAATGTATAAAATTTGGTCAAAAATAAATAGTTAAAAATAACGATGTAAAACTTGGTCACAATTTAAATTAAAATAAAAGATAAAACTATCGTAGCGACTGTACTCGTCAAAGTCCCACCGAGTAATGACTACTCGTTCGGACTTTGACGGTTGCTACGATAGTTTTATCTTTTCTTTTATTTTAAATTGTGACCAAGTTTTAACATCGTTATTTTTAACTATTTATTTTTGACCAAGTTTTATACATTTTCGTTATTTATTAATTCTATCGTTACCAAGACTCGAAGTGTGTGTTTTATTACGTTTGAGCTAGATCATGCAGCCCTTCAACTGGGCACGTACAGCTATGGGAGGTACCTAAAACTGCTTCCTCACTCACTAGACGTGGAAGAACACACGCGTTAGGAAACTAAGAGCGAGAGTTTAATGTAAATTTTTTTTTTTTTTTTTTTAATACGTCATTGAAGATGACTAAGAAAGATAGCCGAAACATCTGACTTTAGAATAATGCAAATTTCATATAAATCAATTAGTGCGTACCAATAACCACGCTGATTCCCATCTGCCTTACTTACTTATGTAATTATAGCTTAATCTTTATGGAAAACGCATTGCGCAGGTATCATTGGATACACCGCTTACAGCAGCACGAAATTCGCCCTCCGTGGCTTAGCGGAGAGCTTGGCGATGGAACTGCGGCCGTACGACATCTCTGTTACCCTGTGTCTGCCAGCGGACACGGACACGCCTGGTTACGCCATGGAAGAGCTGACGAAGCCGATTGAAACGAAGGCCATATCGGAGATGATAAAGCTGGTCCAGCCCGAGGTCGTTGCCGAGAAGGCTCTCGAGGACGCGCTGGTACGTGCACGAGAACTAATGAATTTCAAATCCCCTTGATTTTCTCTTGGCGTTCTCGATGTTAAACGATAGCGTGTTTCAGGCAACAAATTTCTTCTCTTATGTTGGCCTGGAAAGCTTCGCACTGACGACGATGTGCGCGGGAATGTCGCCGATCAAGTCGTTTTCCCAGCTGTTCGTGCAAGTGCTGCTGATGGGCCCGTTGAGACTCATCGGTGCAATCCAACATTTCGTCATGCAGAAAATCATCGAAAAATGCCAGCAACGTACGAGTCCTGAGGTCGTAAAAAAGGTAGAATAAAAGAAAAAGAAAATTTTCTTATAATATCCTGTGATCTATGACCAAAATATTCCGTTCTAAGGTGGATCATTCATTTGATATAGCTTTAATAAGCTTTCTTGCTCCGTACCATCGTGCATCGTATATCGTAACACAATTTATTTGCTATATAAATCACAAATTTTCTTTTTTCTTTTTTTCTTTTTACCGAAATCTACTCTTGTAATAAAAACGAAGTTACTTTATAACGATGCACGTATGACATAAAGATGTGAGCTCTTAATACATGTGTTTATATAATACAACGATCGTGCTTGCAACATCGTAACACAATTTATTTGCTACATGATTCACAATTTTTTTTTTTTTTTTTTTTAAACGAAATACTACTTTTGTAATAAGAATGAAGTTTATAACGATGCAAGTGTGATTAACGTAAAGATGTGAGCTCTTCCTAATACATACACGTGTTTATATTACAATGATAAATATAAGTTATGTGAAAGAAGATAGATACATATACATGACAGATTATTTTAATATATAATGCGATATGCAAAGCAGAAAAAAAGTCTCAAAACAATTTAATTGCATTTACATGATTGGCACATTTTTTTTTTTTTACCGAGTCTACTCTAGTGATAAGAACGAAATTTATTTTTATAATGATATGTGAGTGCCGGTAAAGATGTGAGGTTTTTCTAACATATACAATGTATAATATTTAGAACAATGATAAGTATAAGTTGTGTGAAAAGAGATAGATATGAAAGATTACTTTAATATATAGTGTAACATGCGGTAATACGACGTACGAATTAATGTACGAAGGAGCGAAAGAAATAAAACACGGTCCTCTTTAACGGTTTGGCTTACTTTTATTAGGTATTCCGTAAGTTCATAGTATAATGTTTTTTTTTCTTTTATTAAGCTTTTATGGTTCTTACACACATAGAACGGGACTGCTCTTCGTCCCGTTTCTCGCCACAATAGGTTAAAAACGGAAACGCTGAAACTGGTATGTAAAGAGTACTCCCGAGACGTGGACGGGGGCCTCCGTTCGACGTCGATCGCGGCTCGCGCGTCTGTTCGTCCGCCTGATAGAGAAGATCGATCTCGCAATGCTCTCTTGATGCGAATAACGAATTAAATTTCTTCCCGCGTCCGTCGAAAAATCGAATAGGTGATCGTGCAGCCGCGATCGGGCGCCGAAAGGGCGTGTCGCGTCCAGCTTCCGAAAAAACGAGACTAAACTTATGCGTAGAAACGGCGGTCAACGAAGATTTGTCTCCCGAAATTGCGAGTCCGGTAATGATGGGTTTAACATTGATTTATTATCTCGCTTTTACTGCCTCTCTCTCTCTCTCTCTCTCTCTCTCTCTCTCTCTCTCTCTCTCTCTCTCTCTCGTACACACTTTTATTCTTTCGCTCATGCATATCACGCGCATATTTTAAACTTTCCGCACATTCCTCCCATTCGCGCTAACATCCTTCGCTTTCCTCGGCATCATCTCGTAGATTCGTTAAAGTCTATTTTCCTCTCGTTAAACCCTAAAGCGCTTATATAAGGTGTACAGACGCAAATCCACGAGACGAGGCTTGCCACGAGGAATATTTCCAGAGTGTCTTTGCTGTTTAATCTTCATTTTAACTTACGCTTACTCTTTAAAATCGATCGTCCGCTTATCCGCGCGCTCGACAAATTTTCGGCCACTCTTTCTCCTCTCTCTCTCGCTTCTCGATCATATAGTCTTTCCTGTTACGGCGGGAGCAGCCGTAAATCGCCTTCGTCGAACGTTCGAATCGGCAGACGTGTTGCGTTTAGTGATTAATTAGAACCCCTTACTATAGTTATGATCTGTCGCGTGCCGTCAACGAAACGCCCGTTAAACGTAGGATCTCGCGTTTCAACATTAATAGGACGTTGTCGAACTCAGCCGCTCGCGCAATGGGCTTAACGAGGATTCCTGACTTACGATCTCAAGTGGACACGCCATGTTTCCACAGTGCAACGCGAATAATTATTCGTACAAATAGTTATTCAGCTTGTAATGTCGTACGGACGTTCGCACTTGAAAACGTAAATGAAGATGGAGGTAATTCGCTAAAGAGGGATCGAACGTAATAATCCGTTATTCGATAATATAATATTCGTCGAGTCGTAAACGTTCGGGAGCCTTTAATGCTCGCGTGCAAACAGTCGCGTGATTGCACGGTGCATTTCTCGCGAATGTCATCGGCGATCCGCGTGTTTAACGAGGTATCCGCCCGTCCCGAGGGTGCCGATCGACGACAAATAGGCTCTCTCTTTCTCTCTCTCTCTCTCTTTCTTTCCGCTTTGCTCTTTTAATCCTCCACAGCCAAGAAAAAAAGTGCACGGACGAGAAAGTGAAACACTCGTTTTTACAGAGCGTTGCAGTCTTGAATAATTCGTGCGTGCGTGAATGTCATAAAGATAGGAAATTTGCTATACTCGCGAGATAGATCGTTCCCAGAAAAACACAGATTATAGCTACAATATTGCAGCAACGTTGTAATATTTCTAGCAATATAGCTGGAATGCTACAATGTTGCTGCAACATTGCAGTTATAATCTGTGCTGGGTTCTCTCAGAGGAATAAAGGCGGTGGAGAATTAAAATCACAACAGTCATATTCTCCGCGTGCAGGGCTAGCACCATTTTTACAATCTTCGACGTCCAAAAAATTTCTCGATAACACTCCGTTTGCCGCCCGTCTCGAAATTCTTCTCCAGTGACCTGTTCTCAATCTCCCTCTCTCTCTCTCTCTCTCTCTCTCTCTCTCTCTCTCTCTCTCACGCACACACACATATAAAGCTACGTAATCGATTTCCGGGATGTTCTCCCGTCTTCACAAAGAATTTTTCGAGAAACCGTTCGACGGCGCACGGCAACGTCGGATGGATCACGTCGGAATTGGAATCCCCACGACTCGATAGAGATCTATTTCTGGGTCACCGCGTCTCACTCATCTCTCATCTCTCCCGACGACGATGGCGGCAGCGTCTCGCGTGATCGCTCGTATCTCTTACAATATAGCCTACTATTCTCGGAAAGAACACTCTAACTTGTGTTATCTACGCGTAAGAGCACACATCGACGTACTCGTCAGGACGGTCGCAAAACATCACTCATCAGGAAACAGCACGGGTGTCCACCACGGGATTCGCAATCTGCGACTCTCGGGAATCGAGCGCGCGTATACCCTCCAGCTTCGGCTGGGCGCAGATCTCGGGATCGATCGTTGTATTAATCACGGGAGTCCCTTGAGACTCCTGGATTTCGCGATTAGTAATCGTTCTCGCGCTCTACTTCACGGGTTTGCTTTACAAATTGTGAAGCGGCGGCGCGTGAGAGGTTGATTTCTATTCGAACGCGCGGGGAGGAGCGCGTACGATCGCGCTGACGGCCCGGGCGGGGGTTTTAACGTAACGATCGAGGAACTTGCGGGAGGGACTTTTCAGCAAGTTTCACTCGCTCCCCCGCGACTTGTGTTTCGACAAGAAGGGAGAAAAAGAACTGAGAATAAAGTAGGGGCAAGCCCGCGGTCGGCAACGTCGAACGGAAACGGAAAACTAAGTGTATACGCGACGTGTAAGGACTACAAGATAGATTTTGGTACAAAAATTGTAACGCTGCTCTACACGACGTTAGAATTAGATCGTAAGACGACGTTTCTCGACTGGGTATTTTTTTTTTTTTCGCCGTCCCGCCGTCTCTTTTCGCTGTCGTCTCCTCTTTAAATTACTTCCCCTTTCTCGCGATGAAGCAAAAGGGTCGACGGGGACGAGGCGCGTTGTTCCTTCTTCCACCCCGCGAGGGGGAGGCCCGCGTTGAAGAAGAGGGAAGAGGGTGGCGAGGCTTATAACCGCGATCGCGGTCTCACAGCGGACTGCTTCTCCAGCCCTTTTTCGTCGTGTGCCTCGGGAAACGACCTCGCGAGGCGCGGGAAGAAGGAAAGAGGCGGAAACGATATAAAGAAGGTATAATTACGTCCTCGATCGACCCTTTTTTTTTTTATCTTAAAATGTGTCATTCGACCAACGTCTTAGTACACGTCAGTCCAACGAACTTCTCTCAGTATACATGTTACATGTGTTGTATGTGTGTGTGGGTGTTTTGTGTGTACGTATGCGTGTGTGGCTTATTTTCTCTCGCTTTCTCTCTCTCTCTCTCTCTCTCTCACTCTCTTTCGCGCCGTTCTTCGTCTCTCACAATCAGCGTCCCTTTCCCGTCGCTTTCTCGCGCGCGCAAAGAAAAAAAAACAGGCTCACACACAGGTTTTTAAAGCACCAACCGAACCGCTCGCGTCGCACTCGCGGTCGCGCAAACGCCCACGCACGCACAACAGCCGCTCGTGCCATTCGCCCCGCCTGGCTATTAATGTCCGACGATATATCTGCATTTATATCAGTTAGTTCGCTTACCGCTAGGCGTTAATTAGTGTTACATCTAGTCGCGTGTGTGGCCGGCCCGTGCTATCCACGAGCGCGCACGTCGCGGGGGATGCACCCGCTGCGCGCACTCCGCTTCGACCCCCCTCAAAAAAAAACTCGGACGCACCGGCGCGCGACGGAAAAGCGTGCGCGCCGCCGGTGCCCTGGCGTGTGTTCTCCCCGCCCTCCGATCCTCTCCTCGTGTGGTCATCGCGCCGATCTCGATAAGAGCCTGATCGGCCCGATTCGCGCCGCAAGTGCGCGTGATCTAAATGCGACGACGGGCGCGTTTAAGAATCATCCCCTTCGATTCGACACCCGGCAGACGCCGTGAGGCGATCGAGCAAATCTCCGCGCGATAAAATGTTCATCGAAACGGAAATTCGTCGGACGATCTCGATTTCTCTATACTGGTACATCCGTATACGTGTGTCTGCGCGCGGCGTCTCTCTCTCTCCCTCGGCGCGGTAAGAAATTTTCACTCCCCCTCTCCCCCCCTCTTCTTGCCACCCGATACCGTGCGTGATTCCCGAGCCGGTTAGCACGGGCGGCCAGACCCATTTCCAATGCGCGTTTTTTTTTTACGATCCGAAAAATTACACAGTAACGTTATTTAGTTTATTTTTTTTCTTGTTTCTTTTAGCGTAACACGTACGGCATATCATTAATTAACGTTACGTTATTTATACGCTATGTTACGTTATTTACAATCACATGAATCGTAGATATTCTAACGAATCGTTCGTCTCCTGCCGCTGTCCTCGTGTTTCTACGGTGTAATTTCCTCTCTCTCTCTTTCTCTTTCTCGCTCTCTTCTTTTCTCCTTTTCTCTCTCTCTCTTTCCCCATCTTTCTTTTCACTCCCGTATCTTGTTCAAAACATTTCCTTAAGAATTTTCTCAACGAGAACGTACGCTCTAGTCACTTTATATGCGCCCCTCGTTCGTGCGAGCTGAAACTTGTTCAATATTCAACACCCATGTGCAACGTATTTGCGCGCGTACACATATACATATATATATTTCTGTTCGTTTGTATATATATATATTTATATATATATTTATATATATAATATTATAAAAAACAGTATTCCCACCCCTCCCCACTAGTATTTGCGAAGAAGAAAGCAAATTCGCGGGGGGGCGCGCGGGCGCCCCGCCGGAAAGCCGTACGCTCATCCGCTAAAATTATACAACCGGTCATGCTCAGAGGCGGCACGCCGCGGGCCAGGACCGCCGTGGAAGTACGCGTTATATCAAAAAGTATTTGTAAAAGATATCTCGCCTATTGTTAACGATGAGATGACTCGTAAGGAAAAAGAAGTCCATCCGTTAGGAGGATCTGGAATATGGGATTTAGAATACACGTGAAATTTATACTATACGTACGTTTATGTAAATTTTATATAAAACAAATGTCCCCTCTCGTCTAACATAGTCCTCCAACGTGAATAAACGTCCAATAGAAACGCTCGTGATATTTCGAAGAACTTCCAAAGAATGAAAAATGGCAGTATTTAATTTCTCGAGCAAACGAGTGTACATACAAATTTTCTCCAAAGGGCTCTTCGATTTTTTTTTTTTTCTATAAAAAAGAAACCCGCGATATTTCCGCAGTCTCGTAGAGGAGCGGTCAGTCAGGAAAATGCGGTCGGTACGGCCCGCGTCGCGGTGACGTAGTCAGCCTGTGCATGCGCGGACGTATGATATAATATTTTGATCGACGTGTGTATACTCAATGCGCTTTAATTACCAAAAATCTTCATCGGCGGATCGTCTCGAGACACCTGTCGCCACTGACAACGGTCAAGTATTTATAGAGGCAGTGATACAATTCCATTCCAGAGTGAATTCCATGTCGCGACACCCCGAGTTTACTCGCGCGGCGATCGATGAGAGCTTAACACGGACAAAAATTATCCGTGTAAATTTAATGATTGATTCCGACTGCTCGTTTCGAATTTGGTGCTGGGAATATCAGAACATCGTGGACTATGAGTTTTTGATATGGGCAAAATCACGTTCGCTTGATATGAATTCTCCCCCCCCCCCCCCGGATCGAATAATACTGATCGCCGTGTTATTAATAGCGATATGACATTTTTTTTCTCTCAACAGGGTCGCGTTGACTCGCGTCTCTTTCCCCATCTCTCGTTGCTCTTTCATTACGATGTCTTGGAACGCTGACGGATAACTTAAACGAAGACTCTCTAAATCCGCTTTATCGGCGCGTATCGACAAATCGTCTAAGAGACGATGGCCGAGATCGCTCGGTCTCAGGACGATCCCAGATCACGCGGTAGACGTCAAGTATAGACACGCTCTTTTGTTTGTAATTGGTTTCGCTATCGAATATAATTAATTACATCGCATTTCGAAAATTCATCGAACAAGTTTCAATTCTGTTTCGAGCGGCGCGGACGAAGTTTTTTTTTCTTGCTTTTTCCCCAGTCTCGTGACGGTTCTTTTTCCACGCCAACGCTCAACGACGTTTCTCTTTCACTATTGCTCCTTCTCTCAGTCTCTCTCTCTCTCTCTTTCTCTCCTCTCTTTCACTCTCCTCTACCGTCGTTTCTCTTCCTTCTATATATTTCTCGTCACGTTATCGCTTTCTTGTTCCTGTAACGGGTGCTACGAAACCACTCAACGCCCTCGCGATAGGATCTCGCGGTCGCGATCGTTTTTTGGGCGCTCCTTTTTTGAGATTTCGTAACTTTCTACCTTGTCGGGCTAAACAGACGGGAAATACGTGAGACAATTCTGCAAATGTAAAATGGAAATGTGAAACGTGTCTTTTGGAGAAGCAAAAAACACTCAAAAATATCTCTGCTAGTCAATAGTAACAAGTAATAGTAAGTAATAGTAAAAATATCTCTGCTTTGACAATATAGTAACAAGACGCGTTGTTTTGTTTCGATAAAATTTCTAATGGACGTAACTAAATGAATTAGTTCTAACAAATAAAATTGACAATTTGCCCCGAGTTCTCAACTGACAGGTTTTTCAAAACGTTCACGGACTACCCGTTGTTCAAGCTCGACCTAATTTATATATTTTCGACAACGTCAAAAATTTCGTAGCTTCTCCAGCACGTATAGCTTCTCGCAGCAATTTAACAAGAATTCATATAATAAACTAATTCCTAATTTCTAACGGCCGGATCACTGTGTGTCTCGATAATCGAGATGAACTTCTAACTCTTACTTCACGCGTACGGAGAAAAAACATACTACCTCCGGGATCATCGTTCTCTTCTCCGATCTTTATCTTCTCTCTCTCTCTCTCTCTCTCTCGCTCGCTCGCTCGCTCGCTCTCTTTTCTATCATATTACCCTTTATCTTCCTAATCTTCTCATCCTCGCCCTTTTTGTCCTTGATCTCTGAAAATCGGTCCGCAACGTCGAGGATCTCTTCTCTCGAGGTAGTCGGGGTCTCGTAGCAGGAGATAATCGATTATACGCGTATACCATCCTTGCGGTCTTGCCTGATTATCGTTCCGTCGCAAAGTAAGATGGATTTTTCGAGTAGAGAACCATAAGGATCAGAAGAACGAGGACGAATAGGCGGCTGCCGTGACTCGAGTACAGTGTCACCACTCCCGCCAGCCACCACAAAGTAGGACAGCCGCCCGGCGCTGAACTGATGCCCCTCTGTATCGCCGCGGGGTGTTCCCCTGGAAAATCACCGGATACATTTGCATCTAATGAAACAACGATAAGCAACGTTAAACACGCTGCAAGCGAAAATTGCGACCTCGCATTTTCACGTCGCATTTATTATCGCTATGCATACGAGTTTATTTAAACAAGTGCCTTTTGCAAAAGTCCGCGCGCGGAAAAAAATATGATCTCGCAAACGATGTGAATCACATGTAACGAAAGTTCGGGGGGAAAGAGAAAAGTTTGACACAACTGTGTTTCCCCGCGTTTTAATTTTAATTTTTTTACCAACTTTTTTCCCCTATCCAACAATTTTTTTCTCCCAAAGTGATAAAATGTTCCACTCACCGTTTAGCACATGCAGCTGCACGCTCGCGCTATCCAAGTTACTCGGGCTGCAAGTATAGTTACCCGAGTCCTCCCGTCTCGCGTTGTGGATCACGAGGCTGCTCACCGTGTCCTGATCGAGCCTCTTCGTCTGGATGTCGATCTTGCCCAGCTGAAAGTTCAGCACGCGATCGCCCTCGTGGTACCAGAAGACGTAGAACGGGCCCTCGAGGGACTGCTTTATCACGCATCGTATTGCGACTGTACTTCCGGTCTTCACGTACATGTCACGGTCCCCCAAGATCTCGATCTTTGGCACTGCAACACACGTCGGACACGCATACGATATTATCGCTCCCGGTCGTCTGACCGAATAATCGGCTTAACAATAATACAGTCGAATCTCGATAACTCGAGTCTCAAGGAAAAAGCTAAAATCTTTGAGTTATAGAGTAGTTGTCGACTTATCCAAATTTGAGTAAAAGAGAGTTAACATATGAAAATTCGACTTACGGAGGCTTGGAGAATTTATAATTTTCCGATTATAATGACTTTTAAAAGAAAAAAATTCAATATTTGACAGTGAATTATTTACATACATATAATAAATGTAATTATAAAACAAATACCAGGCTATTACTCATGATATTACACATGCTATTACACATAGCTGCAACTTTGAATTATAGAGATAGCGACAATAAAAGTTTGACTAATAGAGGTGAACTTCGACTCGTAGACTTCTGGCTACTTTAAATTCGAGTTGCAGAGGTAAAATAATACCTCTAAATATCTGACAAATAATTCGAGTTAAGATAGGTTTCATTTCGGTTTATAGAAGTTTTTAAAGGCGGCGGAACGGAAGGGAATGAACAAAATTTTCGTTTTATAAAGATTCGAGTTATCGAAGTTCGAATGTAGTTATCCGCCTTCGCAACGCTCACCGACGATGTTGAGCTTGATGATGTGACTCTTCTTCGGGTCGGTCGAGATTTGGCACTCGTACTCGCCTTCGTCGCGCGCCTGGACGTATTTCACCTGCAGCGTCCACGTGTCCGCCTCCCCGAAAATCGCCTGGAACCTTTCGTCCGGGATGAACATGGTTCTATCCACCGAGAGGATATGCGAGTCTCTTCTTCTGATCCAGGAGACCTTCGGGTTAAATCAAAATGAATTGTTTTTCTTCGCGCGCGCGCGCACGTCTTAAACGACTCATTAAATTCTCCTCACGCTTGGGGATCTTTCTGGAATCCCTTAGAGACCGTCGTCATCGCGTCAGTTTTTAAATTTTATTAATTTGCATATAGAGATTCGTCGCCCATTTCCTCTCTATTCTTATTACGAAACGGACTAAGAATTTTCTTCTCAATACATCCGAAAGACTCAATTCCTCGCAATTTACCGTTCCTTCTAATCGCATTAGCTTGATGTTAGAATCACCGGGATTATCGGCGAGCCATTATTCGCAATTGAGTGGACATCGAGAGAGACGGATGAAATTGAGGCGCGCAAAAAAAGAAGAAAGAGAGAGACCTGTCCGAGTAAACTGTAAGAAACGGAAGATACAGCGGCAGAAAAAAAAAACAGACAGTAGGAGAAAAAACATAAGAAAGGGTACGTTCGATTCGTTCCGATTCCGGGACGATCAATCTTCCCGCTCCCGTCGCGCAGTTAATTTATCGTTCATCGACCGGACGGCTCGCGCGCGCCCGACGGAAATCTAGATGGTGCCGCGAGCCCACGGCCCGCCGTGCGCTGCGTCGAAAGAAGGCGAGGTACGAATACATTTAATTCGCCGGCCGATAAGGATCGGAGACGGCGCGGGCGGCGAGGAGGCCGCCGGGGGCCTCCTCAAGTAGCCGCCAAGATTATGCGCGCGGGTCGCGTGTTACCGGATACTTAGTCCTCGACACCGGCGTGCGCCAACGGCGCGACAGGCGTATACCCTGTACAACCCGGGGCGTACAACGAGTACGCCTGCGTACACGTCGGTGAAGTTCGTTAACGAGAGAGACACGGGGGGCAGCTTTGTGAGAGAGAGAGAGAGAGAGGGGGGGGGGGGAATCCGCGCTTGCCGACGGTAATTTTATTACGCGCCCGACGTTCCGCGAAACCATCCTCCGCCCCCCTCCTCTCTCGTTGCGCACCGGTTTTCGATTACCGATTTCACGAGCAGAAAGAAAGAGAGCGGAATAAAATGCGAATCATTAGCAGATTGGTGTTTTATTATAGCGGAGTAAATTGATCCCGATGAAAAGGGTACGTGCAGCCGATCGCGCGGAGAACGATTTAACAGCTCTCGACACCGTGGGCGGGTTATCTGTCGCGGACAGTCGCACATCTGACACGCGCGCGGGAGCCGGGAAGTAGGACTCGCGATAACGACTGAAATCAATTTAGTTGCGGCGTTTTTATCTGTGTGGAGTGTGTGTGGACCTTTGATAGAAATAATCGCGGGCGCCGTCCAAGGTCGGCCGATGTTTCCGAGATGTTAGTGAAAGGAATGATTAATAACGGGAATATAACTCCGCACCTCGCTCTGATGTGTCGATCGTAATCCGGTGGTTTGACATTAATAATGAAACAGAGACGATCGGGCGTTCGCGTGTAAATAAATTTGCGCGCGCGCGCGCGTGGACAACGGAATGGGAGATATTCAGGAGATACCTATTGGGAACAAGGCAGCAGTCCCTCTGTCCCGCGCTGACTCGCGCTCGGCTCGGTTATAACAATTTTTCCTTATTTTTTTCTCTAGCGCTCGTCGTTATATCAAATGGAGTCCCATTGTCATAACTGTCAGGCAAGGAATTCGGCCGTTGTTTGACAAATAAGCTCGTTAATAAATCAAGCTGTCAATACACGTAACGCGCGCGTAAGGCAAACGCGCGCCGCTATCTGCAAAGATGCGGGGAGACGATATGACAGGGACAAATTAGATCTCAAATCGACGACGCGATGACAGTCGTATTGATATGTATGAAATCACAATGTATGTATGTACCAGCCCTTACGTAAGACTCGAGGATTAATGACAACAGGAAACGTGTGGGGTGTATAAAAATTGCCGTGAGCGTCTCGCGCGTAAGAGATTCATTCCCTCCCCCCCCCCCCTCTCCCGCGTTTATATTTCCTCGTGTCTGCGAAAGGAGGGAATACGCGGCTTGCCTTTGTTACCTGACGCTCATGGCTCTTTTTATACCGAGACTTCAATTACTATATGGTTAGGATAACTTACTGATTTGTTACCAAGCTGCCGCACTTTGCACGGTAGATAAGCATGAGTGCCCAACTGCGCCGTGATATTCGTTGGAGTGTTCGAGTCGAAGTAAGGCCCCGTGTAAATCCCGTCGAATCTCTTCACCAGCGAATGAGATCTCGTACTTACCCCTGAAAAAGGAGACGTGTTCAGAAAGAATGTCTCGCGTGCACAGCCGTTTGTGGTGCCGTTTACGTGCCGATCACGGAGACGGGGATCGAGGGGGAGGAGAGTAACGGAAACGGCGCAATGCGGAGAATACGGACGAACGCGGAGATGCACGTGTTCTTTCGCCGAAATTTACGAGTCGCGAGTGCGTGAGACGCGCGAATTATATCGCCGGGATGCGCGTCCTTAAAACGCGCTCGCATGCATGCATATACAACTCGGCCAGCGCTCGGTCGTATCGTCGCGGCGCACGTTATGCGGCGAATTAACATGGAGGTAGTGGCGTTAGCCGTCGCAATGGAATAATAAGGCGAGAGAGAACCACCGGAGGAAGGGGCTACTTCGCATTCGTGCGCCGTAGTATACTCGCTCGCCCGCGCGACGCTATTCGGAATAAATCCTATCGCGCGGAGGAGAGACCGAGAGACCTTCTCGCCGAGGTGCCGTTGCCCCGGGGGAAATGGATACTAATCCCGGGGATTCCGATCTGGGAAATCTAAAGGCGGATCAGCATTCAACCCGGGGGGGAAAAGAGGATGTGAGAGCAACGTGGGCGTCGTTCCAACGACCTTGACGTTATCCGCATCCGATCTCGTGTTCAATCGGCCGCGCGCGAAATCCCGTACGGCGCTGCTCATCCGGATTTGCACCCGTGGTCGCGGTGACCATAATTTGAGGAACGGTCTCGCCGGACCCCGCCGCCCCTCCGGCTAAGTGTGAAAAATGAAATCCTCAATTAGGTCGGAGGAATATTTTACGTGCGGATGAGTTAAGCCGTCGCTAAGCGCTTGAGACGTTAAATTAATAAATTGCTCCTGCACAGATCGGAGATGTCTTCCTCGCTGCGCAGCACGCGAAGTATATTTTCGGGCAAGTCACCTTATCTCGCCTTTCGCTTCGATCTATGTTGATTAAACGCGACTAATTATTTCGCTAATTAGCAGAATCGTTGTTTATAGCTGACGCTGTTAATTTCTCTCCCGCGCCCGAGTTATATTAGTAAGAAGCGAGCATATGTCGTCGTCGCTATCAAGATTTCGCCGAAACTTTGACAAACGACAAAGCTGGTGATAATTACGCTTAATTAAGATCAGCGGCGATGATAACCGCGCGACGTGATAAGGAGTAAATATGAAATTGCCTGTACACGACCGCAAACCTCCTCGTGCCACACTCGTGCCCGGCTTATCGCGCATCGATTGTTCTACTTATGCGCAAGAAAATCACAGCCGCCGCGGCGGCGCTAATTATTGTTTCAGTCAAGCTAAATGCGGGGTAATGAATCATAAATTAATCTCGACGGCTAATCGAGGAGCTAAAGTAAACAATGGTTGGTAAGAATTTTCGATTTAACTTTCCACGGGGTTTCCCAAGCGCGAATAAAGGCTTCCGGGTTTCTTTTCGCGTAGAAATTCAAAACGGGGATTCAAACACAGAGGATCGCGAAATCGAGTTCTGAAATTAAATCCTCGTCACAGATTTATCGTTTTTTTTTTTTTTCGGCTTTTAATCGCGACGACTCACGTAATGCTCGAGAGAGCGATCGATGATTTCGATCATCACATTTCGATCGCACGGTCGGCCGCGATAGAAAACGTCTACCTCTACCCCAGTTTCGAAATCGCGTCGTCCCAGAAACGTCGTACGTAACTGTATCCCCGTGATTCCACAGCCGACAAATCCATCCGGCCGACACGTTTCCGTGCGAACCGAGAGAGAGTGAGAGAGAGCTAGATTGGCAATCAGCGCGCGGCTACGAGTGGTGTATCGTCAAATGTGCCGGAGAGAGAGAGAGAGAGAGAGAGAGAGAGAGAGAGAGAGAGAGAGACGAATTCGTGTGTCTGGGGTCTGCTACCCGGTCCTCCTCCCGCACGAGAGAGTCGATTCTCTTGATCTTGAGGGACGTAAAATCTGCGCAGCTGCGCGCACGCGCCCCCGTCGCGTCGCGTCGCGTCGCGTCGCGTCGCGCCTCGCCGCCGAGGTTGTAGTCCCCTCGCCACCGAGTCTCGGGATCATTTGCCTACCGCGAAAGGGGGCACAAATAGGGGTTGCGCTCGCTTAGATGCTGCCTACGCCGCCCCAAACCTATTTTTCATGTCGACGTCGAGCGGCGAGTTGCGCAAAGGTCGCGCGATCATTCTTTTCTCTTTCAGGGGTGCGTAATACACAGTCGCATTTATCTCGAGATTAAATCAGGCGAAGGAGCGAGCAAAGCGCCAAGGAGCGGCCAGGGGGAGCTGAGGGGAGAATGACGCGTTTTATCGCGGCGGCGTAAGACGCACGTCGACGTGAAGCATGTAATTTCGCAGTGTAACGCACCTGAGGCGAGGCCTCATTGATGAATAACCGAAAGAGTTTATGTTTATCGCGGTCGGCGCGCTGGACATAAATACGACGACGCGCGGCTGCATTATTCATGTCGACGTTTTGTAAGTCGGTTTGCGCCGCTCCTCCCCCTCCCCTCCCGCTCGCCCTCCGGTAACTCCCGAGGGGCGCGCGAGGAAATCACGTTCGCCCCGGAGATTCCGATAAAAGCCGGACGACGACACGATATTCTCGGTTGTGTATTATTTAAGAGGGCCGTTGAAAGAGGAAATAGACCTCGTTCGCCATTCCGAAGGCATAAATCGTTACGAGGGGGGGGGGGAGGAGGACGGGGGGGGATGAAGTAGAATCGTTTCGATCATCGTTGGCCACGATTTCGCCCTCTCAAGTATTCTCAAGTATGTAAGAAGAAGTAAACAAGAAATATATAGGGCTGCGGCGTCTTCGAAGAGAGCGAGAAAGAGAGATGAGTCTCCGCCAAGGTGGAAACTATTATAAAAATCCGAGGAAGTGTTGGCTTTTATAAATCTGTTCCGCTTCACGCGGCAATAAGTCGCGATAAGGTGTCTCCCCGCCGCGTAATCGAGCGTGATGGGACGTGATCGCGCGCGGGGCGCGAGCGCGGCGAGGGAGAGCGGAAGAAGTAAATTTCACGGAAACAGAAGGCGGATCTAAAATCGTATATTTCCCGAGAGAGACAATGCCGCCCCGATGTACACGGAGGAGAGAGACTCCGAGCTGCCGCGCCGTCCGGCAGGGCCGCCTGTTTCCTTTCCCACTTTGTCAGAACAACACGTACGCATGCCCGTGCAGTTTTACGACGTCATCTCGTGTGCGCTAAACTACCACATAAATCCCAGTTTTTCAGCTACTAAAAGATTATTTCCCGCCGACGTGGTATGATTTTATAATAATCCTTACACAACGGTCCTACATCGAAATAGACTCCCGGACCTGCGAGGTCGCGCTCTGATTTTTTTTTCTCCCTACGACAAGATTCCATTTAAAGAACGCGAAAAGACACGAAGCATTTACGGTAACCTTTTTCTGTCAGCGCTTGATTTACTTCGCCATATAATAGCATTATAAAATCTCTATTGAGAATTAAATGGGAAAGTTCGTTTTACCGTCTTCTGAGAGACGCACTTTTTTTCCGCACGTTTCCAGCAAGCTCGTTCCAGTTTCACCACGTTCCACAAATTCGTCTTACGCGTTCGGAAATCTCCCATAAGTGGCACGAGCGCGTAAGGAGCCGCGCGTAACGTATAGGTACGTCACCCTCTCGAGGCAGTAGTTACGCCCTGAGTTGCGCCAGCCGCGTTGATAGCCGCGTCGAAACTTCTCCGTTTCGACGGGGAAACGAACGTTTAATCACCGCGGCGAAGCGTGTAATCAGCGGTTCGGCAGCGCACCTCTCCAACCGCCGCACGCGCGCGTGTGTGCGCGAGCAACGTACGGATCGAGAGTGCATAATGTATCGGCGAGAATGATGTCGGGATAAACCCGCCATTACCGGAGCTTCCAAACTGCGCCAACTCCTCCGTAGTATATCTCTCTCGTAGTCGAGAGCAGTTAGCAGTACTTTCCAAGTGGTTTACCGCGAGCGAGGGAGGAACTAACGCGCGCGGGGAAGGAGGAAGGCGGAAGGCGAACGAAACTGTACTGATATCCTTGGGGCGAGAGAGCCCCGAGTCCGAGTATAATTATTCGACGAACGCGGCCGCGCGAACCGATCGCATCGACCGACAGAGCGCAAAGCACCACCACCGCGGTCGACGGTGTTTCCGCGCGGCTACGAAACGCGCGGACGAGTTCGACGGTGATAATCCGATTTTATCGGCGCGCTCCGGATTTTCCGCTCGCGCTCCACTGCTCCCAGGAATTGATCACGCCTCGCCGAAGAGGCAGCCTCCCGCGAGCGAGAGTCGTCCTCTTTAGGGCGACCCGAAACGCCTCAGGTATTTTCTCGCGAATGATTGCGTCATCGCGCGGTTAAACGCTGATACGCTTAGCGGGATTGTGTATATATATATATATATATATATATATATATATATATATTCGCGTCGTCTATTCAATCGCGAGACGGGAAATCGCTTTTCAGAAGGTAATCCTGCAGTTGGCCCTCTCGTTTCTTTCCATTCGAGATGAAAGCTCTCTCGCACTTTTGTAGAAAAGAGAGCTTATCTCTCACGGTTCATAATAGAATCTGAATCCTGACAATCAAAGGCAAGTTACATTCGACGAGGAAACAGTTCTTCTGGAAACTGGTGTCTCTTGCAAGCCATTCGAGGAAGCTCTTTCCCTTCCGAAAGATTGCATCGAACTCATGTTTAAAGAAGAGACGCAAAAATCGCCCCGGTTTTTCCTCCCGTCGAGATGTCTCGACGGTAGCCGGGCTATCTCGCAGATAGCACGTACTCGCAGTACGCATGAATGCACCCTCCAGAATGACGCCGTGACGCTCCTGTTTCACGAGCGGGGCTTTAAAAGCACGACCGCATCGCGGTGATGCAGCCGCGCGAGATGAAATCGATAGACACGTCCCTGAACGACGCCACGGCGGAGGAAAGGGGAGGGACGCGTTCGTCTCCCTCCTCGTCATCGTCCCCGTGATGACGGAATCATCGAGACGACACGCTGCTGATCCCCGCGGGGGGCGCAGGGTGGAAGAGAGGCGGACAAAGAGGAGGACGTCGAGAGTGCAAAGGGGTGAAAGAGAGGCAAAAAGGGGGACAGGGAGAAAGATTGAGAGAGACAGAGAGCCAGAGAGAAAGAGGGAACAAGTGGAGGGAGGCACAATGCTGCGGCGCGACAAACAAGGGTGGCGCTAGATACGGTCCTGGACCGGGACCGGAGGTTGCGTCCTCCCCTTGGACGTCTCCGTCCTTTTTAGTCCTTATCTATTCTCGCGTATCCTCGATCCTCCCTCTCTACGTATGATCTCCGCACTCCGGCGTCCGCCGGTGTTCGCGACAGCGGGAGAAACGCGCACGAGTGGCGCGGTACGTACGCTCGTAAGTGTGCACGCGGGGCGCGAGGGAGAAGCGTATGAAACGTACTGTGCTACACCCCAAAATCTGATCGATCCATTCGCGGGCACGGGAGCCCCGCCTCCCCGCAAAATTGTACGATGACGGTGCTCGATCACCTATATCCGCCTATCCTACCGTGTACCGCATGAATCGGGTAAACGCTATTTGCAGCATCCCCTCTGACGGCAACTTCCTCTCGGAGCCCCCGATCCGATGTCTCGTTACGCCGCCATCTGTTTCACGGATCTCCGCGCCGCGGTAGAAACCGTGTATATATAACACGTTTCTCTTTTTCTCTTATACGACAAAAGCCGTGCGATCTCCCCGCGCGAATGGGGCCTTACCGGTAATGCCTAGTAGGATCCAGCACACGAGGCACAGGACGTAGTAGTTGACGTAGGAGGACCTCCTCATGGTGATCACGACGACAACAACAACGGCGACGACGACGACGACGGCGTAACTGTCCCCGACGACGGGTCCACTGACATCTCATGGAACACCCGCGGCGCACCTCTTTCTCTCGGCGCTCCTCCACTTTAATAAACCTCCGTCGTCGTCCCGTTCATCCTCTTTGCAGCAGCAGCAGCCGGTGCTACCAGGACTCGCGCATACTCCCGCGTTACCCGTCGTTGCAACCCTCTCGTTGCAACCTCCCCGTGCTTGCGCTCTTGTTGTGCATCCACCGATTTTCCTTACTCTCTCTCTCTCTTGCTCCGTCTTCTGTAGCACTGTGTGATATCACATTATCTCGCAGTTGGAATACTCGCGAATGTGCAAGCGACGGAACGAGGCGGCCGAGTTACGGTCTAATTTGGCAGGCGGTCTCGCGCGCGCGGGGGGTTTCACCGTATACCACCTATCCCGTGTGCGTATACCCGACCCGTTAATCGGACGACTGATTAAATTTTTCTTTATTACTCCCAGAAGAAGACGTCAAGTGTCGCGCGCACCAAGGTCACGAAGCGGTCTGCCTGCGTTGAATCGGGCCACACCCTCCCCCACCTCCCTTTCTTTTACCCCGCGATTGTGTGCCCCCTCGTTTGTACGGACGCCACGGTATATACGCTCGGTGTGGATCGGTCGGCCGTACTGTGTGAAACGCGACCGGGTTTCCCGCACTCGGCTCGTCCGCGGTTCGTCGTCCCGGGCGAAGCTCTGAAACCGCCGGGCCTCCGGTGGCACTGCCCGCGCCCGCCCGGGGATTCCGCGCAGGCGTGCTCTCTCTCCTCTACTCCGGCGGCGATCAGTCAGCCTCCTCCTTCCTCGAGGCCTTCTGCCTTTTCCGCCGCGCGCCTTCCGTCCCCGCGCTACGGCTTTGCGCGCTCCGCTCCGCTCCGCTTCGCGTCACGTCGCGTCGCGTCACGCCGCGTAGCGCAGCTCCGCCGTTTCGAATTTTTCTTTCCGCATTTCTCGCTCTCTCTCTCTCTCTCTCTCTTTTTCTCTTTCTTTCTCCTATCGCTGCTTCTGCGTGTCCTATGCGGCGACAAGACTCCGCAATTGCTACTCGTCTCGCAAGCACGGACAAATTTCACGCTTCTTACACGACATCGTCATCTCTCCCGTCACCTCCCCGCCGGCGGTTGAATGGCACGCGACCTCGGACTCGCGTCCTGTCTCCTGCCAGTCTCCGCGGCTAGGGAAACTTTAAACATCGCGTTTCGTTCGCAACCGCGTGTCAGGTCGCGCACCGGAGCGTCTCCCAACCCGCCACGATCATCACGCGCTCGTTGATAAATCGTTAAAGAGCTTCGATGCTCCGCGATCGTCATCCATCGTCTTAATTTCCATATTTTATTTTCTACCTTCTGAAATTTCTTCTTCGGTATATGATATCAAACGTTATATTAGAGTCGTCCTATATTTCGCTCCCGCTCGTCCGCCGTGACGCGCAGATTTCAACCGCGACACCGCGGCGGCCTCGTCCTAAATGAATTCTTTGAGTCCCTTCTGGATTCTCGGTTTTCCTTAATCTCTCGCGAGCGGTATATCTAACCCTTTAACCCTTAGACGCGCGCCTTCGAGGTTTCCCTTCCCATATTTACGCAACCGGAAAGTCGCTCAGTTTGAAGCAACTCTCCCGCAAAACGCGAAATGAATAATGAGAAAGGGATCTCTTTACCGGGCGCGCGCGGACGAGATGCAAAATTATGTTTGCGCATTCTCGAGGATGTAATTACATTTGCGGAAAATTAAATTTTTACAGAAGTATCCGGTGTAATTGGATACGTATATCCCGCGTATATGCCGCGTTAAACAATGTTTCGCGGATATCGTAGCTCCGCGCTACCCATGCAATATGCAACGTTGAAATTGAGGTAGACCGCCTGGAACGGAATGGCGGAAATGTATTTGGAGCTACCTACGTCCCGCCGTGGAGATCCACAGCGCGCTTCACCGTGGACAAATGTTAAGCCGCTTACGGTATGAATCTTATCCCCCGGAGACTGATGTGGCGGTGTGGGCTCGGTTATTTAATAGGAAAAAAAAAGGAAAAGAAAAAATATCGCCGTCGCGCACTCCTTTGTTCGTGCTCTCCTTCCAGCACAACGGGGAGACCGTTCCGTATCAGCGTCGCGTTCTCGCTCCTCGAGACGTTTAGACAATACAACGCGCGTCCCTGATCTTGTTTCGCTTTAATTCAACTGACAAAGTTTAATAGTCTGCGAAAATATCACCCTCCCCTCCTCGCCCCTCCTCCCTCCTCCACCCTTCTGTGCTATTTTATTTCTTTATATTGCAATCGCTACCATACATTCCTGTTGCGTCCGATACTTTTATACATTCTACTTGCGTTATCGGTGAATTATTGTTCTCGTTAACCGATAGATAAGCAAATAACTCAATATTCGACTCGACCATGCGGGTCTCCATTTCGATTGGCGTCCATCATTTGGACGACAAAGTGGTTTTCTGTCCGACGTTATCTATAGACGAATTATCGCTATACCAACTTTCGTGTTCGCTCGTCGAAATTAACCGCCCTCGTCTTCGGAAGTAAGTTTTCGTATCGCGCCGAGTTCACCGGGACACCGTCGTAATTTGCATGAGCGACGGTATTTGGCAAATTATATAACTTTTCTCCCCGATGATCGACTGATCCCATTCGTGTTCCCTACTTTGGGACTTTCTTATCGTCTCCCGTCCTATACTCCTTTACATACATTCGGCAAACGTTATCTACCTTCGTGTTCTTTTCTTTAGTTCGCGTAAACAAATCGATTTAACCAAAAGAGATAAATATACAAGTACAAGAATTATCTATATTTTAAAATTATTTATATCAATATGAACAGAGATTTAATATCTCTGCAAAATGTGTTGGTATTGAAGCAGTAAATGGCGGTACGCAGTGCCAGATAAATGATGATAGCGTATCAATCCTTTTTTCGACGAGGTCAAACACCGCCGTGAGATTTATGCCGGTTGCCGATCGAAGCAGACGAAAGCTGATCGGCTGTCCGCTCACCTTTTATGGCCCTTCACTTCACCTTCGGGCAACGCCGCGCCGAAGGGTCGTGTCGCCCGATGGGAACGTCCTACGCTTTTCACGGCGCATCGACCTGGCTGGGGTTACAACGTTAACGCCGATCGGCTTCGGAACTGTGCATCCCTCTTGCGCCCGTTGGGTTACGCCGATAAACTTTACACGCGACAAACCGTCGCGCAGAATCGACAAAAAGCGCGGCGGGCAAAAAGCGCGCAGCTCACTCTCTCGCGTCGGCCGATTATTCATTTTTTATCAGTGTATAAACATCCGTTCCTCCCACCAACTTTTTCTCTATCTTCTCTCGCTCTCGGACATCCCGGGGCTTTTGTCATGCAGCCGCTTTTGCCCCCGCGCTGAAACTTTCAGACGTGCAGCACGCTAAACTCGTCCCTCTTGTGAGGGAACTAACGGCGCGACGTTATGGGCGAAGAGACCCGAGGGGGCCATTAATAAAATGTCATTTACTCTTAAACGATTTTCCGGCTTTCCCGCGCCCGTGCTCGCGATGATTCCGCCGTCGCGGAAGGGGATAGGGCCAGGTGATTCAAATTTCCGGTACACGAAAATCAGCGGGGAGGAAAATATAAAAGGTTTCGCTGCATCTTCCGTCGCGTAGCAACCCTCTGCACTCGTTTGAGCTGTATAGATACTTTCGTTTATACGCGATATAGCACACGAAGCAAGGATTCTTAAATGTGTGTGTGTGTGTGTGTGTGTGTGTGTGTGTGTGTGTGTGTGTGCGCGTGTGTGTGTGTGTATAAAGGGGGTTTCGGTTGTGTGCGGCGTAGGCACGAGGGGAGAAAAAAGTTTTATAAAATACGCGGGCGTAAGCGTCACACGCAGCTGCAGGTGCATTGGAGTGCATACTGTCGCGTTTTACTTCGTTGGGGGGAGAGCGGCGGAGACCTCCTCGCCATCTCTTTTATACCCGTGCGACGGAACCCCTCGCGCGACGATGTGATGATCCTGAATTTTCCTCCCCGCGCCCGCGGTTTATCGCCCGCGACGTGGGCGAAGTTTATATCTTTTATCGGGATAATCCACGACGAGAGGCGCACGACTGTCGTGGATTGATAACACAGTGTCGATACCGCGGTAGAAACTTTCCTCGACACTTCCCTCAGTCTCGTTCTCTCTCTCTCTCTCTCTCTCTCTCTCTCTCTCTCTCTCTCTCTCCAGTCGACGCGCGAACGCCGTCTCGTGGAACAAAAACATTATTGACAACCGGCGTCGCGACGGATGGGAATATATCGCGAGTCTGGAAATATCGCGTTGCGTATTCGCGAGATTTTCTAATTTGCAAAAGGAGAGACGTTTTACGCGCGTTTCGCGGCGTAATGCCGACGTCAGCGGCGCGGGCGCGCTGCTTTGCACTTAAAACGCATTTGCCGAATCGGGGGTAAAACGAGCGCGCGGCTGAACTTTAATAATGAGTCGGGGAGGAGGCGTTTTTGTAAATAAATATTTTCCCCGCATCATCATTAGCGCCACGCGTCCGTAGAATTTTTCCGTCGACGGAGGGAGGTTTTTATCCGGCGTGCAGGGTTGGGATAATTGAGGAGACGTTATGAGGCGTACGTGATTGCAGAATAATTGGATAACGCGTGGCGAAACGCAAAACTTTTAATGCACTTTGCGCGCTTCCGTTTCTGCCTTCGCCGCCCTACCGACCCACCACCACCTCCACCTCCTCCTCCTCCTCTTCCTTCTTCTTCTATCTATTTTCGCGGAAAGTTAATTTGTAGAAAGCTCGTGAAACACGTAGAATAAATACATTCTTCCCGTTTTAACGGCGCGACGGCTCGTGCAGGCACGCCATATCGGTGTCGTTTGTCATGCACGAAGCACGAGCAACGACGTTATCGCGTTCGCGATTAATACCCCTGACAAATCGAGGCGCAAAAAGGGAAAGAAACGGCGAAAGCGCAGCGGGCTCGCAGAGAAAGACAGAGGGAGTCGCGAGAGAGAGAGAGAGGGGGGGGGGAAGAGGGAGAGGGAGACGAGAGGACAGAGCGGAACTGTGTGTCCTGTCCTCGTTTCGCGAGAAATTATCGACGCGCGACCCACGCCTTGAAATTACGCCGCGTTTATAGGACGATGGGGTTGCGCTATCCGCCTCTTCTCCGCAATTTTAACACCCCGAGGTGGGATCGGGTTTAGTGCGGATAAAATTGTATGTAGGGTAAAGCGTGCGGGCAAAATCGAACGCCGTCCGCCTATATTTTCGCGCGCGGGCGAAGGGAGGATCCGACGGGATCTGATAATAACGCTGGTAAAACCGGCCGATGGCCGGATGCCCCGATGAGTCCCGGGTAGGATGTCGTCACGTTTGTAACGAACTATTCTTCTCTCTCTTTGCGGGCGATTCATTGTCGGCGCTGCTGGGCTCCGAAGACGGGGCACGCGGCGGCACGCTTCATTTGATTCGCCTTATATCCGGTTTTACCCTACTTTCTTTCATTATCCTCAACCTCAAACACACACACACACACACACACACACACACACACACACACACACGCCGCGTCCATTTTCCGCAATTTTCCCGAAAAGCGCATATCGTTTCCCACCGGGCTAAATTGTGCCGGGCTAAAGTGTGACGGAAACCGGGTCACTGTTACGCGGACGTACGTTTATTCACCCAGGGGAGGGAAACAAGTAGCA